CTATTCATAAGGTTTTCACTGGCTAATTCTTTTCAGAAGTAGACTTCCAGGTCCTTCTTCCTAGTCTGTCTTAGTCTGGAAGCTCAGCTGAAACCTGTCTGCCAATTGTGACCCTGCTGGTATCTGAATACTGCAGGCATAGCTTCCAGCATCACAACAACACACAAACCCTCTCAGTACGACAAACTGACAAGACACGTGGGGGGCCTAAATATATTATTGTTTAATTAATGGTCACCAAATAAACACTAAATGACTGCAGATAGAAGAGAAGAATTAAGACAAGAAAAGGGGAAACCACGTTTGTGGAAATTGGTTAAAAAATATATATTCAAAATTTTCTAGGATATGATATAACCAGGCCTGTTTTTTTGTTTTTTTTTTTCATAGCATTTACCATAATCTATTCTGATACTTTCATGGATGTGGTCATCTCATAATGTCTGTCATTTCCTATAGACATTATGGGCCAGGCACTCACATCTCTTGTTCACTGAGCCCGGCACAATGCCTGGCAGAAAAGAGGCATTCAAATATTTTAAATAAATGAACCAAAACATTAATGTAGGGAAGAGAAAGTTTTTTTCAGAGAACTACTCAATCTAATCAGAGCAGAGGCACCCTTACAGAAAAGAAGAAAAAGGGAAATTTAAAAGATCATTTCAAGATTATAACATAGAGAGCTTTGCACAAGAGGCTGAGAAACCTGTTCCTGTCCAAATTCCATAAACAAAAGGGTATCATTAAAGGCTTTGAGGACAGAAGTAATAAAATCTGAATTTTCTTTTACAATGATTAACTGTGGAGTGGAAAAGGAACTGGAATCGTGAGTGAGAGACAAAATGTATCGGAAGCATTAGGAAGCTGATTCAACAGTCCAGATAACAGGCCAGGGGGCTGGGCTAGGGTAGCATCAGCTGGTATGGAAAGACAGAAATACTGGAACATTTGTTAATGCTTGATTTCTTTATTCTTTACCATAGTTCCCAGTAGTATTGTCCCAGTAAACCCATTAAATTGCATATTTGACAACTGAAACCTCAGAATGTGGAACATCTGGCCATATTTATCCCCCATTGGCACAACCTTGAAAAAATAAATGGTTATGGAATAGCTGCAAAGGCAAAAAGAGATAACTTCAATGAATGAAAATTTAGTGCCATCTCCTGGGAAGTTGTAATGAAAACTTCCTTGAACATCAAATTGTGGCAACTAGATCTAAAACAAATTTGTACAGCTAATACAAGCAAAGCTATAACAATCACCTATAAGACAGTTCCTTGAAAAAGAGAAAAGAGTGTTGGACACCATATCTATAAAATTATTATTTTAACATATTTACAATAAAGAATCACTATTTTATAGATTCCTCCCTCCCTTGTTTGCTTGAATTAATATCTGAAATGCACAGACATAAATAAAATACATTGAACCACTAGAAATATGTTTACCCTAAACCTTTTCAAGTTACTAGAAGTGGTAGAAGAGGTACATGGTGTTCTGGATATCTGAAACAATCCTGATTACAAACATGTTTTACTACTGTTTCTATTCATCTTGAAAGTATATTGTAAATTGTAATATATTTTTATTTAAACTACATTTCTTAGACCTAGAAAAGGCCCCCAAATTCTTTGTCAGACCACATGTCATGATCTGGAGTTTAAAAAATGCTGTTTGCTAATCTGAGCTTGAAATCTGCTTGTCACTTAATCCCTGATATTTGCTGAGTCTTTAATGAGCACAGTGCTCTGTCCTAGGATAACTGGGAACAGAGGAAACAGATAGAAAATGCATTTTCTAAGGTTGCTTTCAAAGTGTTCAATCTCTCAGTATAACAAAAGCCATCAATTACAGAAGAAGCCATTTACTACTTAAAAATAAGAGTGCATTAAATGTCAATAAATATTTATT